TTGAATATGTTCAAGAACTGAGTGTCAACAGCCCTTTGGGGTAGTGAGTTCCATACATTCACCACCCTTTGAGTGAAGAAGTTCTTCCTCAACTCAGTGCGAAAGGGCTGGCCTCTGATTTTAAGTTTTGTGAGGCGAGTGCTCTAACCACTGAGCTACAGGACTCCATATTAAGGTGTTAAGGTGCTATTATCAAATGCAAGGAATATTATTGTTATTAAAAATGTTTCTTGTTGCAGGCAGTACAATTTTCCTTGGAAGGTTAAACAGATTAATAGGGTGACAAATGGTACATGTTTAGATCTCCAGTTATACATCTGATGAACATTGACTTCAGACAGTCCACACGATATGGCACCAGCTGAGGAAAATACTAAAACCCATTCACCCACAGCTCTCGTCAGATCAGCTGTGATCTCCATATCTGGTGCTTGGTAGCTTCAGGCGTAGTAAATCTGATTCAGATTGAGAGTATGCGCGATCTTTCTTATTTTATATTTTGTTCCGATTTATACAGGATGATTCATTAGCTTTCCTCTCTTAGAGTTGACAGGACCGGCTGAGTGTGGCTCAGTTTTTAACACTTTTGCTGTGTGTTCAAACTTCGCTTAATACGAGCTCGTAATCTCGGCAGAAACTCCAATGTTGTATTGTTGAAGGCGACTTTTCTCGGATGCCTTCAGATGTGATGTTAAACCATGATATTGTCTGTCTATTCTACAGATGGACATTAAAGATCCCATTCCACTGTTTGCAAAGCATTTTTCTGGCCAATCATTTTCCAGATGAATTGCTTAATTCAGACATATTCATGGCTGTTTGTGGAACTTTACTGCTAAATTCGCCTACAAAGATAGTCATTACACTTGACAATAATTATTGTAAAGAGTTCTTCCTTTCTTGGTTTCTTTGTGCTTACCTCCCAATGTGTTATCTCATATGGTTATCAACTGTTTTGTACCTTTATGAAACAAAGCCCCGGCTCCTTTCACCGCTTCAAACAGTGACTGCAGTTGCAAGATTGTGCCTTGTTCCTGTGTCTTTACACGCTTGCTTTACAGTTGGCTCGTTGATGCATCTCAAGACATTTCTTAGTGAAGCTCATTGGAAATTGGAGCCAGACTATTGGCAGTGGTGTTGAGTCTAATCTTTTAGCGATTGATACTGTAAATGAATGAACAATAGGAACTGAGCTATATTGTCATGCTGTCAACCTGTTCTCCAAATAAGCAGTGAAAACAGGATGCAGATGTTTGTTGTGGGCATAGTTGGTTATTGGTATAGTATACGTCCAGCCTTACCTTTGGACAGCTGCCTCCCATGCATTCACCTGCAAAAGAGGCAGTTATCTCTCCTTTTGCAGCTAAAGAAGCTGCTCCAAACTTCTGATAAGTTTACAGTCATATCCAATACATAATCACATTTAAAACAATTGCCTCGTTTTGGCTACACTGATAGCTGATAAACAACAATCACTTTAATGCCCTTTAATCCACTCTAGCTCTGCTAGTTTAAAATGATAATTTTAATTATTATTAATTGTAAGCTGTTCGTTCACCCAATATTAATTGTTACTGGAGTCTATATCTGTGGAATATAGATTGTGCTAGTGTTTCTAATATTACTAGTAGCAAATATGCATTTCATTTTAAAACAAAAAGTGTTATTGCAAGTGAGGAGGCCTTGATAACCCACAAACTGTGGCAGACGTCAGGATGACTTTGAAGGGAGCCAGACAGAGGCATATCTCTATGCGCTCCTGGACGCTGCCCTGCATGAAGAGCGCTATATAAATAAATGCACGTTGTTGTTGTCTCAAATGGAAGTGAGCAGTGGTCTTGAGTGGCGACAGGGACAAATAGCAGTTGCAGAACTGTATATAGCAACACTTGTTTAGAAGTTACTTCTTGTGATGAGCTAGTTTTGGTCACAGTTTATGGCTTAAATAATTAGTATATGGCCTTTGAAGACTTTTTGTAGCACATATCTTCTGGGTATCCCTTTTTTTCTGGCTTTCAATAAAAAATGTTTAAGTAATTACAATTTAAAATTGCATATATGCACAGCCTAGACTGTAGGATTAAAGTAATATTTTCATCAGAATAAATAATAACTATAACATAATGATGGGTCAAGGGAAATACAGTACTTTTTAAATGCTATAGAAAAGAGCCAGAAGACAGTACTCAAAACACAGGAAGCTAGTGCGGTAAAGTGACCTTCACAGATCCTGCTACTCAGGTAAATTGTTTCATTTCAGTTAATTTATTTAACCCTTGAAATAATATATGTAGGTCCCAAGAAGGGATATTTCCAAAGTAGTGAAATAGCAGTACAGTAGTTAGTTTGAAATTTCCCCCATCGCCTGTGTGTGTATGGCAGTTCTGTGTTTCCTTTTCCTGTGTTAGTTATTATTGTGGAGCACTGTAAATCCACTAACCATTTGTGTGTCTGAAAGGTCATTTACACTAGGTGTGAACAGAGTGGTTTACATCTATTCACTTTCAAGAGGCTTTTAGTTCTTGAAATTCATAATGTCTTAAACTTAGTTGTGAATAATCATCTCGGGTCCCTTAGCAAGTTTGAGGGAGGAAACAGGGTTCATACTAAAACAAAAAGTTAACCTACAACAATAATGGAAAAATACACACTTTGTATTGTCTCTTTAAGCCATAAAAACAAATCTGACAATAAATAACAGCAACAACCTCGCATTGATATAGTGTCCTTCACACAGGCAGTGTCCCAGAGAGCGTTTGAATAGGAATGTGTGGGCACTAGATGCCTTCAGCAGCTCCGAGAAACCTGAATGTAAAAAGTGGTGGAAAAGTCGAATGTGAAGCATCATAGTATTATTGTGTCCAGTGGGCTGGCTCGAGACGAGATGTTTTGTGCTGGACTTTCAAGTTCATAGTCTCTTGACAGCATAAGTTTATCTTCCCTTGGAGATTTCTCAGTGAGCTGCCGTTTCACTTGATAAATGTGTTGCCTGGTCGTAAATTAACATTTGAAAGGATTGAAAGGTTATACTGGCCTATTTTCTAAATCTGTGAAAACGACACAACCGGCCAATTGCTTTGCAATTGTAGCTGCTGAGTGTTTAATTAAGATGTCAGTCTCAGCAGTCTACAAGCCTTCAGAGGACTCTGCGTTTGGTGATCCTTAATTTATGGGAAAATGTGTTAAACGTCTTCTCAAGCAATGCAGAGGGCTTCAGTGGCTTGTGTATAGTATGGCATAAAATGTTGGAAGAAACGGAATCCATCAGAAAATGCCTGTGAGACTCAATCCCCCGAGTTGCTGAGTATAAACCCGGAGTATAAACATTTGAAACAAGGGAGGAGAGTGCTGGAGCACCAGAGGCTGCTCAGGCCTGTGACGTTTTGCCCACGTTTGTGATGCCAATTTTTGGTAGAAACAAATAACAGCAGCTTGTATTTATATAGCTCCCCTCATGTCCCAGAGTGCATGAACAAAATACAGTATCTTGCCGTATTTTCACTAGACTTCACCTTGTAAAACCCCCTCCCCGCTTATGAGGTATTATTGTTGATTCTGATGCCGATGTTAATTCCTTTAAATATGACCTTGAGGCTTCTATTTAGCTTTTTTTTAAAACAAAAAAGTCAGCGCACTGTGTGTTGTGACATTTCCAGTTATAGCTTCCTGTTCTCTTTCCCACCATCCCCCAGAGATACCTCAAAAATGGCTTAATCCACCCTGATGTGATATTATCTTCAGTATCTGATATAACGGCAGTTCCAGCTGTTCATTCCTTCCACACTCCCCTTGAAATTCTATTCCTTTGTGACTTGATGAAAATTATATACTGTTCAGTGATAGACTTACGATTCTTGGTCCTGTATGTTTCTGTAATCAGGTTTGTTATGATAATCCTTCCGTTTGACATAGCGCCTTATATCATTCAGACAATAACAATAAGTTGCATTTATATATCCTTCAAGCAGGAAAACATCTGAAAGCACTTCATATAATATACTGTAAAGTGAATAGACTGTATATTTTGTTCTTGCTAGATGCCACTATTTCAAAGTGGCGTATTCCTATCAGTTATCTTGTCCTATCATTTACCCACTCCCCCCCCATCCAAATTCATTGCAAAATTCAAATTAATTAGCTACTCATTTCATTGATGCTTGTTGCCAGTACAAATTTGTTATATTTGCCTGCATAGAAACATTTACTTCACTTATCATTAAATTTCATTCTGTAAAGCACTTAGAGGCGTCTCTTTTTCATGTAATACCTTATACGAATGCAAGTCTCTCTCTAGTTATAAATATGCCATGATGTGTGATGATGTGATGTCTTGATGTGATGACTTAAAGGAGGCTTTGGCTTCCTGGAGGTAGGGCAGGGATGGGAACTATTTTGATTTTCACAAATTTAGAACTCTAAAGCATGAGTGATTGTAGATAACTAGCACAATTCTGCCCCAGAACTTCCTTATCTAAAGATAAAAAACATTTACCCCTGCCCCAAGTTATTTTCTGCCCTTGCCAACAACTAGGTCTCTTGTACATCATGCCTGGCTGAAGCTCTAAGTGCTTAACCTTAACCTCCAAGTGCCATCTTGTGACTAAACACTTCTCCTTGCTTCCTCCCTTTCCTCCTTCAAGGCCGGTCTCAAGACCTTTCTCTTCAACCGTGCCTTCAGCTCCCCTCTCGACTCTCTACCCCCTCCTCGCTCCCTCCCTTCCCTCCCCTCACCCTGACCATTTCCCCCCTGCTCGGGTCCCGACCCAATTGTCCAGCGCCTTGGGACGTCCTCCCGATGTGAAAGGCGCTCTATAAATGCAATCTTTTTGTTGTTGTTGTTGAAGGGATACAGAAGGACACAACAGTGATACTGGGTTTTTAGGACATGTAGAAATATAAAGTATGACCATTGTCTTATTTTCCTAGTCTCCGTTAGTCACTGTCATGATTAAATTGTTATTCGAGCCTTGGTGTTTGATTGGGATTCTCCTTGCTTACAGTGAACAGAGTATCTGCCAGGCTCGGGCCTCAGTTATGGTATATGATGATTCCAGTAAAAAATGGGTCCCTGCCAAACCTGGACAGCAAGGATTCAGCAGAGTCAATATCTACCATAACACGTCCAACAACACCTTCAGAGTGGTTGGGATGAAGCTACAAGACCAGCAAGTAAGTGGCAAAGAATTGTCAGTGTTGACTCAACATTGTAAGCATTGCAAGATATGAATTTTGGATAAGTGAGACACAACAGTCATACTTGTGTTTAGAGACATTGACAACTCAAACCTATCTAATCTCCCAAAGCGAGGTGAATATCCCTCACAGTATAAGACTGTGTGCAGTCTCTTGTGATCCATCAAGGTAATTAAATAAAAACTCCAGAGGTCTGAAATCCTTTATAGCTTTAGCCTGAAGACTTAGCCTTAAAAAGAACTGCTTCCAAATTAAGACCGAATTTAAGAATTTGCCAAAACGCCACACCACCTTAAATGTTAAGACAACAGTCTTAAGGCTAAGACCATTAGAGGTTTGCAGTCAAAGGTCATCCATCTAACATTACATTGTACATTAGTCAACTCTAAACAGCTGCATTGCACAAGCGCATATTCATCTGGCCTGAAGTTTAACTCTGAATTTGTTTCTAATCTTTTTTCAATCATAATTAAACCACTTGTCTGCTTCTGTGCTATTTGTTGCCTTTGGTATTGCATCACGTGCCCTTAAAGTTTTCTTTAATCCAGTGAAAACTCATTCCCTCTGTTTAACTTTGTTTCAAAACTTAGAGTTTTAAGTCTCAGAATTTGAAATCCCAGAATTATCCTTGTTGCTCTCCTCTTTACTCACTTCATTCCCTCATTGACCTATGGAAGACAGAGTGACCAATACTGTACACGATTCCAAACTGTGTCTCGCACCACGTCCTACAGGGTTAAAATAACTTGTTTGATTTACGGTCAAAAGTCCCAGAGACACATGTCACAACTTGGAACCCTCAGTAGATGCAGACAAGTGATGTAAATCATCCAAAGCAACATTTCACAGGTTGTAAATAACACTGCACCAACTGGTATGAAATACATATCCAAAATGATGCATTGATGTGGGGGATCCTGTTGGAAGCCTTGAAGGGTCGAACACATGACTCTGAGCTGACGTTACGCTGAAAACATTTTTACCATGAGAGAGCAGATATGCTAAAGTCAAGGCAGATCCTTGGCTGGTGTTTGAAATGTTTTAACTTAATCACAAAAATTTTTTTTAAGAGCACACAAAGTATATAGTAATAATAATAATAATAATCCTTGAATTTGATATTGCGCTTTTCATGTCTTCGAGAGACGTCTCAAAGAGCTTCACAGAATATGCTGTAAAGTGAATTGAGGTATATATTGTATATTTGTGGACAAAACATATAGTGTTTTTAACAGTACTGTAATCATTTTCAATTTAAGGCACCCCCTTCGCTTACAAACATAGGAATGAGAGAAAACAGGAGCTGAAAGAGGATTTTCAGCCCGTCGAGTCCGTTCCACCATACATTTACATAGTCTGTACAGCATGATAACAGGTCATTCAGCCCAACCAGTCCATAACGGTGTTTATACTCCACATGTCTTCATATTCTACATGAGTCATACCAGTTTATTAGATCTTGCCTTATCTGTTAATCTGAGTATCTTGCCCTTTCGCCAAACATCTACATTTAGGCATCTACACCTCAAGTCTTTGCCTATCTCTGGATTAAACATTCCTTATTAATTCCACCTTTGCAGCTTTCTGAGACAGAGCATTCCCCATCTCTACAACCTTCTGGGTGAAGCAATGCTTCCTGACCTCAGTTCGAATTGCCTTGGCTCTGATTTTAAGCATCTCGGGACATCTTCTCTATATGAAAGGCATTAAATGTAAATTTGCATTGTAGTGGATCTCTCTACCAAGGGGAGAATCATCCACTGCCTAACCTGCCAATTCCTTTCATTGTTTGAAGTACCCCTTCCAATAGAAATCCAGAGACCCAAATATTCCCAGAGTCTGACAGATGAATAATTGTTTGCAGTTCTGTGAAAATGTAACTCTTGCATCCAGAAGATCTTGTTAAGGAAAAGTTATTCTCTCAATGTTAGAATCATTTCTTTGTGAAGCAGAGCATTGGAAACATTAAAATAATCAATGGATTCTATCAGATGACCTTCCCTGTTCTTTGTAGCACAGGTGGTGTCCTACATTGCAGATATTGTTCTTTCACCTAGCTTTCTCTGCTTACAACTATCCAGCCTTTCTCTTGCTCACTCCCAGTGGCAAAGTGCTGAGATTGGGAAAGCGTCATCTGATGAACTGTGAGTGGGCACTTATTTGGAACCATTCTAGGCTAGAGCACCCATTCACTGAGTGACAACACACATGAGTAAACGCCACTTGTGAAATGTTTCAAAAATCAAAGGACTGATTGATACTCAATTAATGTTTGGGGGGACTGATTGATACTCATTAGAAAACGCCTAATAGTTGTGCCGTTTGGCATAGGCGGCATATCAGGCTGTGAGCACATTTAAAAGCTTTTTGCATTCATCACGTGAATCATTCGTGGATGGATGAGTAATGCGAAATGTGCTGCAAGCCGAAAGGCCACATTCAATCACTTGTTGCAAATATAGCTTTAAATAAAAGTAATTACAGTATAAACCAAATTATTGATAATTAAAAGCCATTTACTGCGACAGGAATGAATGCAAGAAACAAGTGCACTAACCAAAATGTCTGAATGTGAGTGAGACCCGAAAGAGGGAAATAGAACATTGAAATGATATTTCACTTTATTAATACTGAACTGCGAGAAAGATCCTAAGATGTGTCTGAAATGTTAGCTTACTGATTAAATAAAGATTAAAGAAAAGTTTAATTCTGGATCACGTGAGTTAATTCCCAGTCCTCCAAAAACACAAATATTTACAGTATTTCCTTATTTGTCACATTATCTCAATTTCTGGCATCCTGATGAATAAATCTGTTAAATAGTTCCCATGTGTCAAGATGGAAACTTCAACATAACTTGGTGACAATTTGCTGAGTGATTGCAATGTTTGTTGCATTCCCATCCGATCTCGGTTGCTCACTGAGTTGAGTGCTGATCTGCAGACTTATAGTAAACTTGGGGCAGATACAACCAAAGTCATATGTTCTGTGGTGCAGACAATGTAATCTCTCCGTTCGGGGGAAGGTCAAGTCGGCTGCTTTGTAAAGAAGTGTTACAGACTTGTGAGCTGTTAACTGGCGAAAAAAATTAAATGTCTTTGAAGGCTGATAAAGTGAGACTGAAACATAGCATATTCTTCGTAACCAGTTTTGAATTTGCACGTGCACCGGATTAATTTTCAGTTTATACTATGAGTACAGAAGACCTTTTGGAGGTTTTCACTTAAAACCAGGCCCATCCTTTCTGATGCTGAATATTAAGCTGCAAAAAGAGAATTAACCAGATCCGGAGAATGGTTCCTTAATTCACAGTATTCTCAGAAGTACTTTATTGCAATCATGTTGTGCATTAGTGCGGACTCTACTAAGTAATGCTCACACACCCTTTAATCCCATAGAAAATAGCAGTAGCTGTTAGCTGCTGTTGCAATAGCATCATAGCCAGATCTAGTGCTTATCTCACCAGAAAAAAAATTGTCCCTTATATTGAAATCTTCAGGTTTAGTTTAAACAGTGTGGACTGTTGCAGTCATGAATACCAGATACAGATTAGCTTCACTGTTACTCATAGCACTGTCGAAAGGTTAGCTTTGTGACTAAACTTTCAAAAAAAAATTTAATTGAAGATCAAGTCTGCACTTCAGAGGTATATAGTGTTGTTTAATCTGCGCTTCACTCTAAAGCTTTATTCGGCTTGAGCTGAAAATCTTGTCTGTCTCTGTGGACAACAATAAAACCATCCAGTCTCTATGCTGTAACAACCCACACTATTTAACCTCAATCCCCGTTGATGGAAGGGGGAATCGGAGGGTAATATAACAGTAGTGGGAACAGTTATAGAAGAATGAGGGGGATAATGAATACTCACAACTAATCTGGAAATAAGCTTAATTTACAGATTTGTTATAGATGTTATAGCCAATGTTGTAGATTTGAACTACAATCTGAAGGGTTTCCCTTCGCTCTGCTCCCTGGAGTGTCTGCTCTATCCTAAAACTCAGAATAATTAACAGTGCACAGATAGAAAATATGACCAATTAACTGCAACATGCTTGGTGGTAGTGAGCAACCCACGTGAGTTACCTTAATTAAAAAGTGCTTTGCAAGGACACATTCTTAACTTGAGAGAGTTTGAGAGCAGCAGAGAGAGCAACGGTTCCCAGCAATAGTTTTATGCTTTCTGGTGATCTGTATCAAGCGCAAGGATTATCAGTGTTACTTATGATTCAATGTGCTTTTCACTTCCAGGTAGTCATAAACTATTCCATAGTGAAAGGACTGAAGTACAATCAGGCAACTCCTACATTCCACCAATGGCGTGATGCTCGCCAGGTGTATGGGTTGAATTTTGCAAGCAAGGAGGAGGCAACAACGTTTTCAAATGCAATGCTGTACGCTCTGAACGTGATGAACTCACAAGATGGAGGTACGTCCTGTCCTGTCTCATCTCTCTGCGATCGTACAAACATTCCCTGCAGTGCCATCTGCTGTTCCTGCTATTCACCTTGTATAAACTAGACATTTTTTGAAAACGCTCGTAAACCTCTGGGTATTTCTAAGCTGACAGGAAACATTATGCATTTTGACACCTGGTATGATTTTCCTACTTTCTCTGGTTGCGGTTGTCTGCTCGTATCACACTGGGGTTGAAAAGATGACATCAGTGAGCTTGCAGTCACTGCAATAGGGCAACTTCTGGCATTGAGACTGAAATTGTGGGATTCATTGAAACAGAGTGGGGCAAAGAAGATCAAGATTGCTAAAGCGGTTTTGCAGCTGGGGTATTGCATTCCGACATTTATGAACTTGTTCTCATCTGAGAAACAGCCCAGAAGTCAAAACGCCCACTGGGGGACGTGGAGAATGGTTGAGGCCAGGATGCCAGAATCATTTTTTTTTTTTTTTTAAAAAATCTTATTGTTGTGACGATCGTCTGGGAGGGTGGGTATTCTGGAAGGATGAGATGAAATGGACCAAAGGAGCTTCTTCACTCAAATCTCTCTTGTATTTACAACCAGTACATTTGGTGAATAAGCTACCACTGCCACCTTGTGGTGAAGCATTGAGCATAAAGCACTTTAACACGTGGTGAATATTATGGGAATATTCCATTTCTGAACCTGTAAAAAGTCGTTTCATTTGTTTAAGTGTTTGACATTTTTAGGATTAGTGGCACATTTCACTCCTTCGCGTAGGAGAGGACTATCTGCTCAAAGCCAATTTCATGCCACTTTCCCCAATTACTTTTTGATAAACACTGCTGTGACTCAGCCTTCCAGTGTGAATGGCAGTGGATCAGTTGCAAGTATTATTTTTATTATCATTATATTCTTCACCAGTGTAAGAATGTCAAGACAGAAGCCATTTGACCCATTGTGCTAAATTAGTATAATTGTGAATTTTCCACTTCCCAAACCCAGTCAGAAAAACAGCAACCTCACTGCGGGGCAACTTGTTCTGATCTTTAAAAATAGTATCCTTTTCGCACTTTCTGTATGGACAAAGTTGGTATTTTTAGCATCTTGTGCAAAACAGAACTCAACAGAACTGAGTGAGGCTGTTGATTTACTGTCAATGAGTATCGAATTCTAGATTGGGTTGTGCTGTGGAGACATGTAGCCAGTATTAAATCATTTGCTCAATCTCATTTTACACATTGAAATCCTTGTTACTGTTCCCCATACCCTGAGCTATCAGAGAGGCCATCCTCTCCTGGGCTTATTACTGTTACCGGTGAGGGTGAAGTAACCCATTGTCATCAATGCTGCTCGAAAGAACATAAGAATTCGCTAAGCGAAAGAAGACCATCCACCTTCGTAGTCGCTTAACATGTCATGTCCCAAACTATACACTGGATCCCGATATGTCATTTTCTAGCAGAAATACTTGAAAGGAGGAAGGAACAATTGGGTCCAGTGCCTGTATTTCATTTGTGAAACAGTTATTGCTCGTTTGAAAGTCAAATGATCTCTTGATCTCAAGGCACTTCCTTACACCTGAAATTTTCATTGGCATCATGTGCAGTGACCTTGACAAGTTAGACAACGCTGGATGGACTGTGGAAAATGGGAAAGTCCCATCAGTGGCCGTATTGTTAATGCCACTACCTGTCACAGCACCCAGAATTGCAGCTCCCACACTCCCACAGCTAAACTAGACAGTGATGTACGATGACGGAAACTGCAGCCTCATCAGAATTTACCAATGACAATATATGGGGGTATAGAAATAAAACGCAATTTACTAGTTTCTCAAATGATTGCATTGCACATGACACCTCCCTTTCCGTGTGTACATTTAAACCATTCAGCATACGTCCAGTCAAGTAGCTGATGTTTGTGACACACTTCACTGCTGTTTTCTTTGCTGTCATTTTCCCTCTTATGACTCCTTAAGTGGTTGCCTCTGTAGGTGGCTGAGAGTAGATCAAACTCTGGTTTCTTTCACAGCTTTCAGTACAAGTCCTGTTCTGCGCGCACTCACACTTAGGTGCACACAGACGTCCACTCACACAGAGAGACTCACATCCGAATTGACTCACACTCAGACATACATGGATTCGCATAGATTCACACTCGTACACAGCGACTGACGCTCACATATCCACAGATTGATGTACATGTACCCTCACACCCAAACGTGCACTCACACACAGACTTGTACACACATTCAGGCACCAACTCAGACACTCGTGCACACACGCATTCCGAAATCAAACTGACTTTGAGTGTTAATTATTCTTCTTATTATTATCACACTTCTAGTAAACGTATCCCGTGAGCTTGTAATGCTGTGATATAATTCAAATAAATCATAGAAAATGTTGAGCCAGTGACATGTACCTGATGAAACAAATCCGTGGAGTTTCTGGGAAGGAACACAGCCCGTACTTGGCAGTGAAAGGTTCAGTGATCTTCATTTGATCCGGGCTTTGCTGCCCTGTCGGATGTTTGCTGCTTCACACCCTGATTTAGATTGTTTGACTCAGCCCAGATCTCTTCACGTAGTTCGAGTGCTTCACAGTTTGACATTTGAACTCTGCCACATTTTACCTCGACAAGTGACATGTGCTGCTGATGCTCTTCAGGCAGGATCTCACTTGATTGCTGCTTCTCCTGTTTCCCACTGACTGAAGGCTGCCCAGTGTGATACATATATGGTCTAAGAGGACTGATGCCGGCTTTTCCTGACACCACAACTCTGATTGGATGAATTCTATTCCAAAATAACCAAAGGACAAGTTGCAAAGAAGCCATTCTCTTTGGGGGACAGGGGGTGAAGTAGGGGGGAGTGAGGAGAGTCTGGCTAACATGGGATTCCCCGAGGTCGTGCTTCCTTTTAATGCTCGCCACACTCTGGTTCCTTCTGGATCGTGCTTCAGCTGTGTATCTTGTAAATAACAGGTGGTTACAGCGAAAGAAGAGAAGCATTTTGTTCTTGTCTCTTTAATGTTGAAATCACGGGAGGCAGATTCTCTCACAGGATGCCGGTTCAACAGGCTCGAGACTTCCTCGATCGGAGAGTTAGTCGGACAACTATTACCTTAACCAGTAAGTAGAGGAGGTGTCCTCAATTACAAAAATACAGCATCAAAGATTGTTATAAATCTAGGAGCCTTTGGGACTGCTTTTGTTGCTAGACCGAATAAAGTAGTTGGAAGGCGAATAAGGTAGTCCAAAAAGCTGTAACAATTTGCTGCAGTCAGATTTCAGCTGAATCTCATTTTAAATGTGGTAGAACGATTGGGTTGTACGGTTAAGTTTCTCTCTTAACAATAATAGAGGAAGAAAATCTGATTCTCGTATAGTAAGTGTCGATTTCTAAACGAGATTTCGGAAACCCGGAAATACATTGTGCACACATCACACTACTCTGCGTTAACTCAACGCCAGATAATAATAATCCTTGCATTTGATATAGCGCCTTATCACGTCTTGGAGACGTCTCAAAGCACTTTACAGGATATACTGTAAAGTGAATTGACTGTATTTTGTGGGCTAAACAAGATGACACTACTTCTGGTTTCTTTGCTAAGGAATACTGTTCAAAATCACCGTATTGTAGACTCCACCAGTAGTGGGTGTTGGCAATCACATTAATGGAGAATACCAGTACACCAAGTTTACTGCCTCTATCTATTCAGTTCAGCACTATGTCGTAAAGACAGTATTGCAGGTCGCTAGATTTAAAATGATGTTTGAGGTATTTAAGGATTGTGAATTGTTCACAGGGCTCGTGTTTTCACAGTCGTGCTTTTCAGACTCAAACACTCAGAAGTGAGAATGGGGCATTGACACTAGAGGTGGGAGGGTCACCCTTTAGTCTAAATGAATCTGAAGGAGAGATGGCCCATGTTATTCTGGTCATGAGCTGAACAAGACTTTGTTCCTACTGGTAAAATATTTCATACAAAGCATTACCAAACACTTAACCTTAAATGTGATGGCTCATATATCCAATGAATCCGATGACCTTTTTAACACAGTTTAACTAAAAACAGAAACCACACACAAAAAAACTGACACATAGTGTTTCACAGGAGAGGTAGATTTACAGCATCGCAACATAAAGTGACTGCCATACCCAGCGCTCTGAGGTTTAACATGATATCAGAGCCTGTGGTTTGCAGAACTCTTTGATATGGCAACAATATATTCCTTTAATAACGGGATATATCCACAACATCTGGCAGCAGTTTGTTCAAGGTAACTTTGGGAGTCTATTTTGCTCACTGACGGAAACCATGAGTTAATAATAGAGGAAATGTGCAAAGTTGCACAACCCACATAACAAATAGTAAAAAAAACTGTGTGGAATGCTGGCTCATGGTGGTGTGACCAGAAAATCTGATACCTTTAAAATGTGTCATCCATTAGGAATGTAGTTGGTAATCAAACCTCAGCTAAGCTCATAACAAGGGGAAAAAGCAGGTTTGGCTGCATTGGGAAGAACAAATGGCCTAATACAGATGTTGCTGTGCACATTTAGTGAATTGAGATAGAATGTACTTCTGGACTGATGAATGGAGAGAGCATAAAACGCTGCATTGTCAGTGTGCTGTCTGGTGGATTATATGTTGTACCGAGGTCCCATTTGTCTGTTAGCAGGGGACGTTAACATTCCCATGGCACTGTTCAAAGAGAGAAGGGAGTTTCTCCCGGTGTCCTGGCCGACAATTCCCACGGGAAGCCGATTTTACTTCCGGCTATTTATATTTACTTCTGGGACATTGCTGCGTGCAAAATTGACTGCCGCGTTTTGACTACAAAATACACAATCCAAAAATCTGTGAAGCTCTTTGAGACGTTCTGAAGTGATAAGCCGCGATATCAAACGCAAGGATTATTATGTAAACAGACTCCATTTTAGAGGTATCAGGTAACATATATCAGTACAAATGGGAGGTACATGATCAGTTTAGAAATC